CCGAAGCCTGCCAGCTTCTAGGCCCATCCCAGGAACCAATGGCTCCTCCCTGGTCCTCCCTGGGGGTGTGCAGAGTTATCTCCACCCATGCACATGCTCCCCCCCCACACACACTGGAAGACCACCAGAAGTCCCGCCCCAGAAGTCCCACCCCCCGACATGACTGACTGCACTGGGTGACACCAACCCTAGAGATGCCACTGCTCCAATGTTTTCTTTATTTGTGATCTCAGAAAGAAAGAGGAGCAGCCTTCAAAAATGGTGCAAAAGCTCCAAAGTTTAATTCTCATTTTAGACAAGCCTCAAAAGAGCAAGCACAGGATGAGCTTAGCAGTAACAGCAGCAGTTTTTGCATGCAAGAACCTGTTTCATCTGATGCACTGATCATTTTGGTCTATATTTTCCATTACTGTTGCTTTTTCCGGAACCTGAATTATCACCAGCATTTTATCTTTAATTTTGCTTGATTTTCTGTTTACTAAATGATATGTAAATTGAATAATATTCTATCAAAGAGAGACAGCTGCCATAGTGTAACTTGTTATCAGAAGGAGCGCAATTAAGAGAGTTATAGACTGCAAGCTATGATTTACTGAGCTGTAGTTTAATCAAGTTTCACCCACATAACAACTCTTCAAAGAAATCTTTGTGTAAGTTAAGTTGGAATGCAAGCAGAAAAAGGGGTCTTGGTAGACTAACAACCAGATCAAACAAATTGATTGAGACACAGTGCTGGCTTGAATGCAAATGTTGTTTGTCTGTTGTTGAAAGTCTGCCAAGAAGAGCCCACACATCAATGTTTTTGTACAGTACTTTGACATTTCATATTGCTCATCCTGTGCCTACATGGTGGTGATGAGTTATAAATCTACTATGTGGTCACTGCTCTGAGAAGTCACAAAATCTCCGATCTAGAAGTGAATGACTGGGAGTGGTAACTATATGACACAGCTTGGGGGAGTAGAAATACTTTTTTAGAGGATAACTCACATAGCTGGAGATATTCTGGGAGCTGTCATCCAAAAGGTGTCCCTCTCCATGCTGCAATAAGAAGTCCTGGCTCTGCTAGAATTCAGAGTCTACAACAGGTCAGGAGAAAAACAGGGGGAGGGGAGGCTGGATTCAGATTGGAAAGGACCCAGGCCAAAGTGCCTTTGGGTGTGTGCCTTCTCCAGTTCTGGGCCCTGCTGGGCTCACCTGGTGATGGCGAGGATCAGGTTCTCTGGAAAGGTATCTGCACTCATACGAACATACCCGAGTATGGATTCAGCTCGTGTTGTTGTTATTCTTGTTGTGTGCCTTCAAATAATTTCTGCCTTATGGTGACCCTTAGTAACTTTATCCTTATGGTGACTCTATCATGAGGTTTTCTTGACAAGTTTCTTCAGAGGGACTTTGTCTTTGCCATCCTCTGAGGCTGAGAGCATGAGTCTTTGCAGACTGCCAGAAATAGTGGACTTTAAATTGAGGCACAAAAAATTACAGTTCCCATGATTCCCCAGGGCAGTGCCTCAATTTAATGTGCACTATTTCTGACAGTCTGCAAAGGCCCCATGTGACTTGCCCAAAGTCCCCAGTGGATTTTTACATGGCTGAGCTGGGATTAGAACCCAGGTCTCTATAGAGTTGTAGTCCAACATTCAAACCACTATGCCACACTGGCTCTCCCAGCTCATATGCCAGCATGTAAATTCCATTTGGTTAACAGGGATAAGGAAGAGAGCCTTTTTAGAGGTGGCCTCAAGAGCAAATGGTTCCAAACTGCCCACTGTTTAATTTTTTTTAATCCAATTACAAGATACTTTCTCTTGAATGGGGGATTTTCATCTCTGCAGAGCCAGGATGGCAGATTGGTTTGAACATTGGACTATGTCTCTGGACAACAGGGTTTGAATGCCTGCTTGCCCATGAGACCTACTGGGTGACATGGGGTAAGTCATACTCTCTCAGCCTCAAAGGAGGGCAAAAGCAACTCCTCTCTGAAGAAACTTGGCAAGAAAACCATGTAATAGGTTTGTTGTAGGATTGACATAACTCAGAAATGACTTAGGGTTATCATAACTCGGAAACAACAGACAACAAAATTTTAATTGAAAGAGATGTTTAAAACTCAAGTCCTTTGCTAGCCCCTATTACAGTTAACTCACTGAATCATTGGGACATACATCGTTCAAGAATTGATTCAATCTATTTTAGTTGAATACTTGCATCCATGCCTGAGTGTTTGCCATTTTTGTTTCAGGTGTGCTATTTTTATTTATCATTTTTAAAACTGTCCTTCCATGCTGTTCCTTCCTGTTTTCTATTTTTATCTTTCGTGAGCTGCCTTGCAAGGATGGCATCCTAAAAGTTGGCCTATAACTACATAAATAAATTCCATCAATCAATAAAATAGAACAAAGCAACTAGGTCTGACTGGCTGCCATTTTAATTTTCCACAGTTCTTTTCGTGTGTGTGTGTGTGTGTGTGTATGTATTAAACAATCTATATAAAACTATTTAAAATTCACTGACAGACCACATTTTTAAAAAATCAGCAAAACAGCATCCCATAAAAGCCCATCAGTCAGTGACTAAAGGCTCAAGGGAATTCCAGGTAGCTACTTTTTGGACAGCTGCCCAAAGATGCTAGTATTGTTGTCCTGTGTATGTGTGCCAAAAGCAGGGGAGGCAGAATTCTTCTTTTAAACTCCAAGTCCCAGAATTCCCTTATCATTATGACCAACAGCTATGTATCTGGGGTATTCTGGGAACTGTTTTTGTAAATCAATTTTGCCAAGTTCTGGTGTGCATGCAGGAGATACCAGCATGATGAAAGAATTTTTAAATATTTGGGAGAGAGTTTCAGAACTAACACCATGTCAAAATGCAGCATAAATAAGATGAACATATTTATTAAATAAAACATTCATCTCCAAATGGGCAATTCATCTGCTTTTCTATTAGTCAGATGCTGCAAACTCAGCATTTTTGTTTCAATTTATTAAGCAGCAAGAAATGAGCCCATTTCATCTAGGAGACTTGAAGAATCTTTAAAACTCATTTTCTCTTTCTATTATTTTCCTCCTAGGGAGGCAGTTAGGCTCAACTTTAGAACAAATTCTGATACCTCCTTCATAACACTCCTTTTGTATTAATATGTATTATTTTATTATTTTGTAGAATGCACGCCATTGGCAGGCTTATCTTTATCTTTATTTATCTATTTTATTGATTGTATGTACAGCACTGTGTAAATCTACAGCGCTATATAAATAAAGCACAATAATAATAATAATAACACTGACACTTTCTGCTCAATCTACTTCTCATTCAGTTCTGTCTTTTACAACAAGATGAGTTTTGTTTAATAGCGGTCAATGAATTTACACAATTCAGTTCAAAAACACTCAAACTTGGTGGTTTTCTCTGAATAATTGAAGAAAATGTTTATTTCCCCACCCCCACATGAAACATGTTTGCACAGATAGCTTCTGCATTACTAGTGTGCTAGAACTGCATATCGAGAACAGATTTGTGGGTGTTTTGTTTTTTTTTGTTTTTTAATTATTGGTCATGTATGGTGAGTGAATGTTTTGCCTGGGCAATTAGGCAGGGAAAGTCTCATAGAGTGGGAAAGAACTTATTTGTCTGGTACATGTGAGTATGTAGACTTCTTTTTTAAAAAAAGAACAGGTGGAATTGCTGGGTGGAAGAAACAAGTTAGGGACATCTTGGCAGCATAAGATGAGGCAAAGACTAATATGCTTTATTTGGTATAAGCTTTCATGAACTGCCACTTACTTCAACAGATGCAAGGAGTATTGCCTCAGACGGCAGATTTTCATACAGGAAATTACATGGCAGAGTGTAATGAGAAAGACGGGGGGAATAGAAATATTAAAAAGTACAAATATGCATCATTACTTTAACTATGGTCATTAACAAACAGCTGGCGACTGATAGCACAAACACCCTAGCTTAAAAGAGTTTATTTATATACTGTGATGAAAACTGGAATAGGATTAAAGCTAAACTAGATTATTTTCTAGTTATAATAAGATGTTGTATCTATATCTCTGAAGAAAACCATATCTTGCTTATTTCATACAGCTACTACTGTTTGTTTGTCCTTAATTGTCTCAGCATTTTTTATATCAGATGTCAATAAAAAAGTACAACGAATTAACACACCTAAGTAGCATAACAGGTATTAGCAATAACAGGTACATTAGATGCCCAGTTTTGAAGAACTGCAATATGGCTACTCTATTTATAATGCATCTTATATATTGTATTGTAAGTTTTAAACTGTTAAGAAGGCTAACCAAATGCACATATTTTCATTCATTTCCAACAAAACAGGTGAGAAAAGCACCCCACCCTCAGTTGCTTCAAAATTTCTGGAACTTGCAGAGGTTCCAAATAGAGATGAATACTCTTCTCTGGAGAGAAATGAGATTTAGAAGTAATGGAGGGCTGAAGGCTGATGGAATTCCAGCAATTCTGTTGAAGCCTTGGTTAATACCTGGAACAACGACTTCACTAGGGCTATAGACATTATGGCTCCCTAGCATCCTTTCCAGCCCACTTCAAACCACAAGCCTTGGTATACGGAAGATCTTAGGATAATGAAGTGGGCTAGACAACGACTAGAGCACCGCTGGAGAAAAACTCGACTCTTATCTGACAAGACACATCATAGAGATTCTCTTGATTCCTATGGAGTTGCAATAGATGCGGCTAAGAAGTCTTTTTATTCTGCATGTATTGGGTCTGTGAAGTCTCATCCGGCAGAGCTGTTCAGGGTGGTAAGGGATCTAATGCAAATGCCCCCCATCCAGAACCCTTTACTAGAACCAATAAAAGTGTGTTGTGATTCTTTAAATAACTAATTCCCAGATAAAATCAGATAAGAGCCAACTTGGACGCCAGCATTACTGCAGAAGCAACAGGAGAGATATCCAGCAACACCGTGAATACGGTCATACTGGATCAATTTCACTCGGTGAGTACTGAGGATGTGGACAAGCTCCTTGGTAGTGTGAAAAAGACGACCTGCTCTCTCGATCCCTGCCCGTCTTGGCTGGCTGCCCAGGGGGGAGATGCAACTAAGATGCTACTAAGGCACATAATCAGTGCATCTTTTAGGGAAAGGCTGATTGCTATCTAGTTTAAAAGAGGCAGTGGTTAAACCACTTTTAAAAAAGCCTTCCCTAGACCCCCTGGACAAAAACAACTACAGCCAGTCTCGCTTTTGTCATTCTTGAGCAAGGTGATTGAGAGAGCAGCCACCATTCAACTCCAAGCAGTCTTGGAGGAAACTGATTATCTAGATCCATTTCAAACTGGATTTAGGACAGGATACAGAGTTGAGACTGCCATGGTCGCCTTAGTCGATGATCTCCATCTGGGCATCGACAGGGGACGTGTGACTCTGTTGGTGCTCGTGGACCTCTCAGTGGCCTTTGATACCATCGACCATGGTATCCTTCTGGAACGCTTGGGAGAGTTGGGAATTGGGGGCACTGCAGGTTACGTTCCTATCTCTGAGACAGTCTCCAGATGGTGATGCTGGGAGACAGCTTCTCTTCTAAAAGAGAACTAAAATCTGGCATCCCTCAGGCGCCATCCTGTCTCCTATGCTATTTAATATTTACATGAAGCCGTTGGGTGAGATCATCCGGAGATATGGGGCGGGGTGTTATCAGTATGCTGATGACACCCAGATATGTTTCCCTTTGTCGCAGACTGTTGCAGTAACTAAGGATGGCATCTCTTCTCTGAATGAACATCTTAAGGTGGTAATGGACTGGATGAGGGAGAACAGACTTAAACTGAATCTGGATAAGATGGAGGTACTTGCTATAGGGACCCCCAACCTGGGAATGGAGATATGTCAACCAGTTCTGGATGGAGTCACACTTCCCTTGAAGGACTGTGTTCACAGCTTAGGGGTGCTCCTGGACTTGTTCCTCCAGTTGACACCACAGACAGACAATGACTGTCAGGAGTGCCTGTTATCAGGCTCGGCTGATACGCCAGCTGCGGCCCTTCCTGGAGCCAGGAGACTTAGAAACAGTGGTACACGCACTGGTAACCTCTCGACTTGACTTCTGCAACACGCTCTACATGGGGCTACCGTTGTACCAAGTTCGGAAACTTCCACTGGTGCAAAATATGGCAGCCAGGCTGGTTGCAGGTACATCTAGAACTGACCATATGACACCTGTCCTAAAATCTAGGTCCAGACTACTTGTGGGAGCACCTTCCTCCACATAATCTACCCCATACACTTAGGTCCTCTGGGAAGAATTTACTGCAGCCTAAGAAGACCAGATTGGCTGCGATCCCATAGAGCCTTTTCATCTGCCGCTCCTGGTTTATGGAACAGCTTGCTGGAAGAGATGAATAACATTACCACTCTAGAAGCCTTTAAGATGGAGCTCTTCTGGCAGGCCTTTCCAGACTAGCCTCCCCTCCACTGATATTGATAGCCCCCGTCTACTCCAAGAAAGATAATGTCTCGCCTCTAATTACCTCTAATTGTAACTAATTTATTTCTTTCTCTTTTAGTTAGTATTTTAAGAGATGAGATTTCAGTTTTCATCTTTGTTATGTCCCCATTGTAGCTTGATTTTACTGCTATTGTTTTAATGGATAAGTATTTTAATCTTTTCTAGT